CTTTTTTTTTTTTTTTTCGGCCCTTTTCTCCGGGTGCTACATACACTTTTAATAGAAATTCATACATTCAAATATAATATAATAATTTTAATTACTAAACTAGTATGTTGATGATATTTATTTTTTTCTGAAAAAATAAAAAGACTAGGTTCTATTTTCTAAATCTATAATATCTGAGCTCGAAGAACGACTTGAAACAAAGTTTTTATTTTTTAATTTTTAATTTAAAATAATTGATTATTTTATTTTATTTTTATTTAAGTAGAATTTTGAGAAAAAATGAATTAGGGAGGAGATTGAAAATAATTTTAGAAAAAATGGATAAAAATTTTGGTTCTGATGATGTTTTTGAAAGAAAAATTAAAAATAAAAGGTCAAAGTACAAATATAGAAAGTTCAGTCATGTAGGACCGCTCAGTTAGCAGTCTCGACGAACCGGAGCGCGCTGCGTGACAAAACGCGCTAACGTCGGTGCCACACGGGAAGTCATGCTTGCAATCCACGTGCCCTACGATCGGACGGTCGAGATCCATCACGATGAACAGTTCATATTCATTTTCTACTTAGATCGAATAGACGAGATTGATCGCAATAAACGATCCAAATTAATACACAATGGTTATAAATACTTTGCATCACATGGGAACTTGAACCCTAACTGCCAGCCCCCGCTGGAGAAAAAGAACCAAATGCCGGAGAAAGAGGTCGATTGTTGACCATCGCCACACCGGAGCCACCATCGACTGCCAAAAAAGGTAAAAAATTTCTCAACTCGCTTAAAATTTGATTCCGAGTACCCAAATGGCCAAATCGGAGTAAGAGGGATGATGGATAAGCCGAAAACTGCAGGTAAAGTTTGATGGAGTCGTCGTGACTAAAACTCTAAAATTCCTCCGATTAGTTCCTTTTCGATTTCCGTTTCACTTAACTTTTCGATCAGTATATTCACCGTCTTTTTTTATGTAGGGTAGTCGAAGAAAAAACCTCAGCCGCGAAGGAAGACTGGCAGAGCAGCCGCACCTTGAGGTTTCTCCCGCCAATAGGTTCGGTTTTTTTGTAATTTTTCGGCCAATCGAGATCTCTAACGTATTTTTCTACAGGAATACAGCCAAAACCAATCAAAATCAGCCAAGCCAATACGAACTGTCGTCGTGGGCTGCAGAGCCAATGCTGAAGCACGGTGGCAACACCGTGCCGGAACTCTAAAATTGGCCAGAATGAGTTTTGGATATTGATTTTAAATTTTTTAGGGTATTTTTAAGTATATGATGAGTGTTTTGAATTTCACAGAAAAAATTCAGGGAATCCAGTAGCCGTTAAGAGACATAGTAGATAGCTTGACGTCTCGAAATACCGATTCAGATAAGAATTATTCACTCTATTTTCCGTTACGTTAAATTGAGACTTAACGATGTATAATTTTGTATTTTTGTGAAAAATTAGAAAACCCTAAAAATAATTACAGTTTACTAGTTGAGCTAGAACTAGTTAGTTTACAATTATTTTGATTTTTTATTTATTTTTTTGTACTGTCATACTTGCTTGATTTTCGTATAATATATGTTCTTAATTTATAGTTCAATAGTTTTATTAACTTCTCTGGTTATTTTAGTTATATATCGTCAGCATGAATGCAGTTTAATTGATATGTGAATGTGATATGAGATATTAGTATGAGTTTATTAGTTGTTTGTTGATAAAAATCTGTATGTGAAAGGTTTACTGGTTACTCAGGAAAAAGGCGGACGGGCTCGATACATAACGAACCCTACTATGAACGTTAGCTTAGTTGGATGGGACTGACAAGTCACTTACTGGAAAAGTTTGGGAGAAATGATTCACCCTCATATCGGACAAGGTATCGAGGTGATGGAATAATTGGTGCCTATTATCGGACGTGGTATAGGAATGGCCGGTCAATTATAAAATTTGATATTGGGTTCACGAGTAGGGAAGATACCTGTAACGGCCCCAGAAATTTTTAAATGAAATGTATATTAAAAATGTCAATGCGGAAGCGAAGTCAAAATTCGATTAACATCCCTTACACTGAAACCAGAAAAACGA